AAGTGGGGGTAATGGTTAATCTTACATGCTAGGAAAGATCACAAATCAATCATTAGAAAAAAAACTCGACGTGGTAGGACTTACTCTTCTTAAAAGAAATCCGAACCGCCGATGACAGTCATTACAATTGGACACCATATCGTCTCTTTCCCATTGCGCATGGACTTGGTAAGGCGTCGGGGCAGTCCACCTGGGACTTAAAACTTTCTGAGGTGCTTCGTGGGTGGGCACACGGAAGTCAGGTGCCTGAGAGAGGTGAGGAGTCAAATCCGTGGGTGGACGAGAAACAGAATTTGGGTGGGTAGGCGCGCCTGAAGGCGTATAACCAGGGTAGCGGAACTCCTCTTCGTCCTCATCGTCGTCTTCCACATAATCATCATCTGGGCCGGAGATCAGCCATCTTTGGTTACCAGCCGCGAGTCGGCGACGCTCGAGCTCTCTGCTGTAGGTGTTGAGCAGGACTTCAGCCTGAGTTTTTCGTTCTGTATCACCATCGCCTTGGATACCATCTGATTCAATGATGCGTCAAGAGGCTGCATTAAAAGGCTTACTAAGAATACCCTGTCGCAATTCAGTGGTTGCACGCTCAAGTTTGGCAATAGCACGCCTTGCCTCGACAGCAGATAAAGTCTCCTCGCCGACGACAGCATCCCGTTGAGTTCCGACTAGATACCAAGCACGAGAGACGTAGTCCTGGGCCGATGACAGTCTTGTGGAGGTCATCGCTCCGAGTTCCTGTCCTTCACCTTCTCCAAAATCGCCCTGGTCGTTCTCGGTAAATGGGACGAGAGAGCCGTCAGATGCAAGATGGTACATGGCTCCATCCGGCTCCTGGAATGGTAGAGGTGGGATGTCAAGCCTACGACGCATCACGCGGACCCAGCGTCTGCGCCTTACCCACGTCGGAGCGCGTGCAGCCACAGATGCGGAGGTCACTGAGCTACTGCTGCTTGTACGGCTGTGGCTTCTGGAAGGAGTGCCCAAGCTAGCTGTCATAAGTCCACTCCCGCTCAGTAAACGCTGAAGCTGAGGGGGCGGTTCGGCAATCCAGGCTTCATCGAGTGAGGAAAAGTCCTCTGCATATTCCCAGGCTGCCTCCACATCAACACCAGGGTAATCCAGCGTCCAATCAGACCTAGAAGACGGGTTAGTAAGAAAGCTCATCAAAAATAACCTGCTGGTCCTCACAGCCAGAAGTGACTTCTTTCGGAGTCCTCAACGGCGGGCCTGTCCCTGGAGCTGGTTTCTGGTAATGACCAAGGATCTCCGATGAGTGGAAGCTGTACACCACTTCGCCAGGCAGCAACCAGTGTGGCGCCCGCGTCATTTGGGGAAGGTAGTTTCAACTCGAATAGTGCACGCCGACCCGGCCTACCAAGGCCATAGTGTGACCACTTTGGCTTCCCACCGGACACTGCTAACGTTTTCAGCCGTGCGTCCAGGCGCTGGTTCTCGTAAAGGATTAAGGGGACGGTCGTGTGCACCGCGAGAGGGTTGTACGGGACAGTCGTTCTGCGCCATCGCTCTGCTTCTGATTTTTGTAGGACCTGGGGGGACTTAAGGAAACGCTTACAACAATTAAGAAAGTGGACACACCTCACATATCCATACCTCGAACACTGCAGCAGCAGCGTCATATGCAGTCTCACCCCAGATATTCCGGACAAGAGGATTTGCTTCTTGCTTTGTAAGTAGATATATGACGACAGGGGAGTGTCCTTTTGACGCTGCATTCACTGGCAAAGCATTTGAGATAGTATGGAACAAAAAATTTGAACACGTACTGAGAGGAGTCCATCCACCTTTACTCCGAACATCCACACTAGAGATACCTCCATGCTCACATAACCACCTCACAATGTCAAGATAGCCCTGTCACCCAATAAGCGTAAGATTCTTTGCAGGAAAATTGACAATAATGTTATCAGTAAGACATACTTTTGAACAGGCGTTGTGGAGAGCTGTCCAGCCGTCAGCATCGCGAGCATTCACGTCTGCTCTATCCGGTAGCAAATATGTGATAATTGGTAGGTGGCCATGAAGAGCGGCTTTGTGTAAAGCAGTCTTGTGACCTGTCAGCGTCAATGTGTGTGTATTAATGGTCTTCACCTACTTCTCCCTCGCGATCCTCTAGATCTGGAATTGCACCACAATCTTCTACCACTGAGACGACGGTGACTTGAGCACATATAAGGAATAATGAAGGTTATCACTCACGCCACTTGACAATGTCTAAGTAACCTCGACTAGCTGCGGCATGCAAAACAGTGAAGCCTGTTCGAGGGGACGCGTCATTTGATAGTGCAAAGGCCTCAACTTGACTGCCTTGCGAAGCTGTCTGGAAGAGCTTCTTCAAAAGAGACAGGTCCCCAGAAGAAGCAGCTGCAGACAAAGCTTCCAACTGGGCAGGAGATGGATGAGGTTGGGTTGCGGGTATAGCTGGCGAAGATACTGGAGATGCAATTACATCTACTGGCATCATAGGAAGTGAGATGGGTATTTGTTCTTGCTCTGCTTCTGGATCCGTAATGGAAGTGGCCATATTTTCTGAGGAAGGTGACTCCCCTCCACCAGCAACAGCAGCGGTCTCCTCAGTGGTACCAGGGTAAACGAATTCCTCCTCTTCCGAGTCTGATTCAGGGTATGTGAATCCTTCTTCATCACTCTGGTCAGAAACATCGCTAGCAGTTCGGGACAACTGTGTGTCAGACAAGCCAGACCTGACAGTTGTCAGTATTCAAGGACGCGTATAAAAGCCAAAGAATGCGCACTCCTCGATAGTCCCTAAATGAGGTTTTCCCAGTTCTGGAGTGGCCATGGTGGACGGAACTAACGCGTTTCTGCTCTCACTCGATGATCAGTAAGGTTTCCGATGGCACTGCTGTGGGAATAAAATGCCATTTTGGAGTTCGACTAAAGGGAGTCGTGTCATTTGCCCCGGTGCTAGCCGCGAGTTATCGTTGCAACATCGATAGGACAACAAACGTGGTTCCGGGTTTCAAGCAGATGTGAAACGCGTTTTGCTTGATGCCTTGACAGGCCCGCAGTCGCAATATGGTGTTTACATAATCGCGGGAGGATATCATCAATTGCACCCGCTGCGATCATAAATATTTGATATTGATGATGACTCTGCTATCAGCTTTCCGTGTCATTCAACGCAGTCCTCTCAATATTATCACTCAATATCGTTTTATGTCTTCTCTTGGTGGAAATTTGGCTCATTTTTCCAAAGGCGCCCTCAATGGCGATCGCTCCAACCTCATTCCCTTCTCCTCGCGACTTCGTGGTGGTCGGGCGCTGGCGCAAGACGTGTGGTCAATTTACAAGTAACTTGATCTATATCTTGTGATAATTTGGTGCCAATTCATCAATCTTCTTTAGTGCAGCGAACCTTCCCGCAGACTGTATCAATCTTGGACAAGGGTATATGAACTTCCCGCCCCCAAAATGGGTCACAGATGCCGCAGATGAAGCTCTCAGATCGCTTTTACCCAACCACTACTCCCATCCAAAGGGGCGCATTCGTCTCCGGAACGCCATCAAAAACTTTTATGAGAAGTCCTTCAACAGAGTTCTCGATGTCGAGACTGAGATTCTCGTAACAAGTGGAGCAAACCAAGGTTCGTCTAGTAATTCTGCAGATGAGTCAATCAGTAGTTCAGGGCTTTATAGGACAATATTCCGTTTTCACCGCCTTCCTTGAGCAGGGAGATGAGGTGATCATGTTCGAGCCTTTCTTCGACCAATATCTACCATCCGTCACCTTCAATGGCGGAACGCCTGTCTATGTCCCCCTTCATCCTCAAACGGATGCTGTGACACCAAATAATAGTAACTGGACGATCGACTTTGATGAATTGCGGTATGCAGACTCATCTTCAGATCAAAGTGTTTATTTATAGCCTTACAGCCGTGCTATCACTCCAAAGGCAAAAATGCTTATTATCAATACCCCTCATAACCCCGTCGGTAAAGTATTCACGAGAGAAGAGTTGGAGAAAATAGCTGCTCTCGCAGAAGAATTCAATCTTTTAGTGATGGCAGATGAAGTGGTATGTTTCCTGTTCGTGTTGCTATAGGTTTTATGCAACGATTACTTGCTTCCAGTACGACTGTCTCGTCTTTGACGGAAAGGAACACGTCCGCTTTGCCACGTTACCGGGCATGTGGGACCGCACAGTAACTGTGTTGTCTGCTGGCAGTGAGTAAATAGTTCGGCCATAAAGGTCCATCTTACGTTATGTGCCAGAGGCGTTCGCTGCCACAGGCTGGCGTGTAGGTTGGTTAATTGGCCCGCCATCAATCATCTTTCCCACTCTCGCCGCCTGCACGCGAATCGTGTTCTGCTCAAACTCTCCGCTACAGGAGGCTGCTGCTGCTGGACTTGAGCAAGCTGCGGAACGTGGTTTCTTCGAGAATCAGCTCAAGGAATATCAAGAGCGACGTAACATACTCCTAAACGCGTTCGATAGGCTTGGTATGAAATACAGTCATCCCGAAGGCAGCTACTTCGTGCTTCTAGTACGTACCGGTTGCACTGACGAGATAACCAACTGACATGTATCATCTCCAGGATATCTCACGCGTCAATTTCCCTGAGGACTACCCCTTTCCGGAGCCAGTCCAAGGCCGAGGACGTGATTTCAAGTATGTGTACTCATTTTTGCTCTGTTCGTTCTAACCGGTCACGACTCAGGGCCTGTTGGTTTATCGCCCTTGAAATTGGTGTATCATCTATCCCTGTCAGCGAGGTAAGTCAGTACGCTTCAAGGTTGAACCAATATTCATGCAATCGCATAGTTCTATTGTGAGGAGCATTGCACTATCGGTGAGAACTTTGCGCGTTTCGCATTCTGCAAGGATGTGGAGACACTCAGGCAGGCTGGAGAGCGTTTGCAACGTTTAGCGGAGTATCTTGTGTAGAATCTAGACATGTATGTAATTATTTATCCAAGTCCCTATGTAGCTATACGTCTGGTAGAGTTTTTTATACACAGCTATAGAACGGGTTCTTCAAGTCTGTCAACAATGCGCGAGAGGACTTCATTTTGCGAGCCCACTTCCATGTCATAATACACCGGGTTGCTGACCAGCCTTCGTGCAAGGAGCGTGAAGGAGAGTGCTTGAACAGCATCCTGCTTGTTTCTGATGGACCCGTCTCCTCTCCTTTCCTGGTACCATTTTTCGAACACGGATGAATCCAACAGCTCCGATTCAAGCGGAAGTCCTTCAGCCAGGAACTTGGAAAATGTGTCTCTGGTCTCCGCCTGGCAAAAGAGGAAGAAGTGGCCAGGGGAATCGTGCCTCACAGCCCGACTCTGCATCTGGACGACATCGACAAGACTGTAATCTCGCAGCTGCGGACCAGAGCCATCTCCCTCAAAATGCATATACTGGGTACCCATGACCACTACGGCTCCCGCCCGGACAGGCAGCTGCCAGCAAGCATCGCGAGGCGCCAGGAGTACGCGAACAACGCCTTCAGCAAATGACTCCAGGATAAGATTCCGATCTACTTTTGACATCCCGCTGTGGAATATCCCTACACCGCGTGTCACAAAATCAACCAATGTCAGGTCTTGCAACCGTGCCGAGTAGTCTTCAACGTAAAGAGGAGGTACGGATTGCGGGAGAAAGCCCCTCTCGATCTCCGTGTTTAGGGCGCACTGTGTGATGAGCTCTTGCGCCACCGTCCGGCAATGACCGCGCGAAGGGACAAAGATGATGGCGGATTCATGTGATGGTACGCTTGTGATAGCCATGTATGCTGGTTTCGACATGGACTTGAACAGTGCAGCTGAATGCGGTATTGTGAAAGTTTGATACATGATTGTGAGCGACTGATCTCGATCTGTGGGTCGAAAACTATGAAGCGCCATGGGATCTACGCCCAGCCACGAAGCGATGTCCGTGGGGTCATTGAGAGAGGCCGACAAGCCGATATATCGGGTGGGATTATTTTGCGTTGTGTGTCGTAGCAGTGATATACTGAGTTCATAGGTTGCATCGAGTTGCTCCAAATTATCGCACACTACAAGAGATGGATAGTTTGCATGGCGGAGGTTACGCTGGTCAACAGCCTCGAGCAGCTCCGACGGCGTAACGACGCGTATTGTGCTGGTCCGGCAGGGAGAAAATAAACCTTCCCCAGAAGACATCTTGACCGTCACGTCAAGTGCGTTGGAAATGACACGGAAGTCAAAAAGAGATTGAGTAGCTAGAGTTCGGTTTGGGACAACGAAAAGCACCAAGGACTTCGGACGGCGGAGTAGGGTTGTCCTTTAATAGACACTTTAGTATATTTGGATCACAAATGTCTTCACTGACCATATCGCTAGATGCCCCATGAGGGACTTGCCACTACTAACGGGAGCAGATACCAGCACGTTCATCGAAGTGTTAATGAGACTCCAAAACACTTGCGTTTGAATAGCATTGAAATCGTGGAGTCGGGCTGAGTAGAGATCTTCGAGTACAGGGAGGCACAGTGAGGAACGCGGGAGAAATGGGAGATCCAAACGGGGCGTATGGCTATGAGAGGGAGCAGGCATAACCAATCCATCCAAAGATACATGGAGTTCATCTTCGGCGCCCATCCATCTATCAGACACAAATCTGACGGTGAAATAGGGGGGAGGAATGTCGGTCAGTATCGAAACCACGAAATTCACATCGAGGGAGTTCGTCGACTCCCGTAATAGAAGGTGCGCAAACTGCAGAATTTCGATGCCTTCGTGATCTTCGACCCACAGCCAGAAAGGCTCTCCGGAGCCATGCATTTTGGTGCTCCAATCGAAGTCTCGAGTAACTGAAACTACAATCTTGAGGACATTTGACCCCAACGGTCGAAGTGAGCTAGTCATTGTGACCGTAGGGAACTGCCGAGCTGCATTCCAGAGCGCTTTACCATGGCCTTCGTTTAAGCGAACTAGTTTACCCAGCTCTACTGGAGTCATGGAAGCTAGTTCTGCGGGCGAGTACTCTTCTCTTGAATTCTCTAAGCCGTATATAATCTCGGCCTTGAGATCAAACTGCCTAAGAGGTTCGTCGAATGGCCAAAGGCGTTTCTCTATAGCCTTAGTGATACCCATGAAAACCTTGGCCACACTAGCCCACTTGCGGCTGATTGCTATATCCAACAGAGCTCGGGAAATGCGTCCTCCATTCTGCGCCGCATATGCTGCGTCAGAAACCAAGGCAAAATCTTCGACTGGAAAGCGAGAAATGCAGCTTTGAAGGAGAATGTTAACTTTGCCTTGGCTTGTATCTGTCCCTCCCTTGGCGCCGAAACTCTGAATGATGCTTTGAAACCTCAAGGAACCTTACTCACTCGCACAGCACACGGAACTTTCTTCATCAGAAGCTCTAGTTCCTTCACTTCTGACTCTCTCACTTGGATTTGGTCGAACTGTTGTTGAATGTCAACTGACATCAAGGACACAAAACAGACTACCCACCTCCGTACTCATACTGAGCATGGAAAGCGCATCAGCTTCGGTCATCTTGGGTTTGAACTCCTTGTTAAAGACCTCGATGGAGGCATATCGAATGTAGTACCTGGCCGCTATCCTGCCGAGGTCTGTTATCGAAAACGCACCGGTCTTTTCAGTAAGGTTTATCATTCCTGCACTGGCCAGTCTTCGAGCTGCTGTCATGACCAGAGAACTTCGCTTCTGGCCTAGAAAGGGATCTTCTGCCACCTCACCCCAAGACATGCCTAATTAAATTGTCAGCTCCTATGACAAAACAGGGCTCTAAAAACTGGCCATATAAAAAGGGATTCTTCCGCATGCGAACATACAGATATGTATATCCCAGCCATCGAACACCTTCGTCGGCATTTGTTACCGTACCAAGAGCGATCTCGGCGTTCAGTGCGTTTTCAATACCTGAGATGAACCTACCTTTTGTCAGAGAAATATCGGCATAAAGACAATCATTCATCTTACCGAGATTCAATTGGGTTCTGGATGGTTGTTCAGCATTCATCGCTCGTCGTGGCTGGATAAACGTACCTGTGACGTTACAGCATCAAGATAATGTACGAGTTTGTCCTCGGTAGTGCAAATGTATCCTTCACCACTTGTCTCGAAACCAGGCCGGCCAGCACGACCAAACACTTGCAATACATCCAAAACCGAGAGATCGACAAAGGATCCCTTTGCGCTGTCGTACAACTGAGTGCCTTTGATTACAACTTGACTCCTTCATGAGAGATGAATCAAGGACACAGTAAAAATTTCTCACCTGCATGAGCAGGTAAGTTGACTCCCCATGCGAGCGTCGATGTACAACAGAGAACCTTCCTCCGATATGTTAGCTTTCGCCTGGGTTATTTCCACGCCGATGCCACTGACCTTGATAGCTCGAGCTTCGAACATCCTCTCCATCATGTTCCGATCAGATCGCAGCATACCCGCATGATGAATACCAAACCCAAGATCAAACAGTTGCTTCATCTCCTTATTCCTAGAATCTCCTATGCTCCTTCGGAAAAATGTCCATTGAGGATGCTCCTCGCAGTTGTAATCCTCCAATGTGCCATCTATTGTCGCTGCATCCTTCAAAGCTTGCGCCGCTTTCACTGTTTCTTTCCGCGCATGAACGAACACCATTACTTGGTGTCCCTGTCGTACCAGGTCAGAAACTTTCTCGTATGTGACGCGGTCAAGATTCGTTTTAGACCGTACGCTTCCAGGCTTTCCTCGAACTCCGATGAAGTGCTGCTCCAAAGGTACCGGTCGGAAAGAAGAGTCGAAGAAAAAGAGTCCTTTATATCGGGACACGCTGATTATGAGTTGAGTTTGATTGATCAGAAGAACAATGTGGGCAAACAAACTTTAAAAAATCTGCGACATCCAAATAGTTTGGCAACGTTGCACTGAGCCCAACTATTCTAATGACAGATTGGCTTGATTCGACCTACAAATGAGTCGGTCACGAATTCACATGTAAGAGAACGAACATGTACCTGTCTTAACGTGCGCGCAACAATAGTTTCGATGACGGCCCCACGTTCTTCATTCAAAAGATGCACCTCGTCAATGATCAAAAGCTTCAACTTCTACATGCAAAAGACCGTCAGGCAGGTGAAAGCACAGGTACTTATATGGAGACATACTGAAGCTAATTCGCCTTCGCCAGTGGGCTTTCGAGTTACAACGTCCCATTTTTCAGGTGTGGTGACTATGACTTGGGTTTCGGCGATTTCAGATTTTGTCAGTTGCATGTCACCTACATCGAAAATTAATAATTGATGCATATATCGGAGAGAATTTCCATCCCTGTCAATTCCTTGACTTGTATAGCGAGCCACTTTAGTCTTTTCCCCAGCTTTCGAACGATCTCAGAAGCCAGAGCTTTCATAGGTGCACTATGTTTTTTAAAAGTCAGGGCGCTGTATTATAAGCAAAACATTATTGGAAGCTCACACATAAATAATCTGAAAGGCATTGCGATCTATCGAAGCATGCAAAGGTGATGATGGACTGATGGGTGATCGGTGCTGGTTGAGAACCCGAAGGATTGTTAACATCGCTATATCGGTTTTACCCTATGATGTGAGTTCGATAAGCTACAGTTCAAGGACGACGCGCAGAATAAGCTAACAGCACCAGTGGGAGCTGTCGAACGCCGTTAGGGTGCTAAAGACCACGCGATACAACCAGAAGACGCACCGCAAACCAGTATATTTTCGTTTGATTCATAAGCGGTTGGATAGATGATAGACTGCATGCGATTTAGGGAAGAATATCCCTTAAAGAGAAGGTTTTATATAAAAAATAGAGGGAAAGGGTGGGATACATACGGGGAACGAGCCTCTGGTTAATTCATCAAGTTCATTGACAAGAATGAGCCTTTCGGATTGCCTGGGTGGAATGACTCTGGAAGGAGGAAGGATGACTTCCTCATATTCCTGACTCGCTGGTGAGCAGATGGTATTAAGTAAGGCATTTGTAACTGACCTCGTAGTTATGTCTTGTATGTCCGACTGGAAGTACGTACTTGCTACCAAATTGAGAAAGCGAACCGCCTTGCATCATAGAGGACGAAGAGTACACATGTGGAAGCACTTCTGGAGCTTCTTGCTGGATATTTTGAACAAGGGCTCACGTCAAGGCGCAAATGAACCTACTGCCACGCCAGTAAACAAAGGACGAGACGCATTTGTCCTGAGAGTCTCTTCCATGCGGCGACGAACATCCTGTGGAGCAAGGCTGGCAGTTACAACTGTACCACACGTTAGTAAGAATAAATAATAATCATGGACAGCACTAACCACCTGATTTTGGTTTGCCTGAGGTTGAGTTTTCAAATGTCGTTCTGTCTCGTCCAGACAACTAGGTGCTGTGAGTCATTATATGTGATGCACTTGATCACTACTGACCACGTTCACAAAGTAAGATCTAGAGGCGAGCAATTCTGCGACAATTTCGATGTCGTCAAAGCCGACCAGATCAGCGAGCTCGCCTGATATGGCATCATCTGGGAGTGTGGTCGACAGAATACCAGAGATATGTTCTAGAACTTCTTGTGGTTTGCTACATGTCACGATCATGAGGTTCCTGTAGAAGAACGTGACAAGCCCAGGAACACCAACCTTGCCAATCTACCTATTAGGTGCTCAGGCGGTGATAGCGACAATTTCTGACCAGTGATAAAGACATCCGTGATGGAGGTTCGGAAATCCTTTTCTAGATCGTCATCGACATCATGATCTATGCGTGGTGAGTTGGTCGGTTAAGGATATATCAGTCGAAGCAGGGTACCTGGACTTGCAAATGACTTGGGTCTAGACAATTAAAGTGAGTCCTTGTTTGACTCTAAAGACATTATTGACATGCAACAGACATTATCCAGTCGTCCAGTTGCTTGGCATCATTGAAGTTCTGAACAGCATATTCGCCAGGAGCAGACGTCAACTGGTCAAGATGCACGAGAATAGACATGCTAACTTGGTAGACCCTCTGGACAGTATAAGAAATGATAAGGAGAGTTCGTTCCGTTCGTCGCGTAGGTAGTCACGTAGTAAACAACTTGCGTACTTGTGATGGCCCCGAATCTGATGTGATGACTTTCTTTCGATGACTTGTATCCACTCTTTTCCCACGACATGCAAGTTACTAACGGGAACCTTGGACGTTTCGGCACCGTGGAGCCAACTAGTTTTTAATTTTGAAGTGTGAGTCAAACCAAGTACCAAGCATACCCTGTGACCTGAGATCGAGATACCGTTGACCGCGGCTAGCACTGCTCAAGCGACACCGCCGCGTTGCCCCCTACTAGCATGGGTCCTTACTATGACCCAACTTGAACACAGATATTCCATCGCTTCCGAATGATCAACTTGGCAAAGTCACCTCGACGTCGTGTATACCTCATGTGATATATTACAACTATGTATACATATACCCATTGCCCACCAGTGAATCTAGATGCCGATTTCAACTTGGATATTCACCGAGTTCGCACACAGCAATGATTATAAGGCTATACTGAAAATGCTTCTGTCACATTCACCTTCTCCCATGAACCCTAAGAAAATTGGTCGCTTTCGAATCCTCGTCATAGGAAGGGCGAGTGCAGGAAACACTACCGTGCTTTCAAGAGTTTGCAACACACCGGAGAACCCAACAATATACAGCGCTGGGAAAAAGGTGGGCATCACGATGCTAGTAATCGGTAACATGAACTGACACATTCTCAGCGCGGAGAGATGGTGTTCAAAAGCAACCCGGGATTCGTCTTTCACGACTCGCGTGGGGGCGGCGGATCCGAATTTGAGAAGGTCAAGGCATTCATCGAGGGCCGTTCAGAGGAGATGAAAGTCGAAAATCAACTCCATGCTATCTGGTAATTGCAACTGATCAATCACAACATGCGCTATCTCACAGTTTTTACATAGGTACTGCATCCCAATGGACGAGGCAAGCAGGTCGTCCACTCAGTGCGACACTGGAAGCAGTAAGCTTTCGCATCCAACCGTCGTTAAGATTCAACTGATGCGCAAAATCGTGACAGTCCTTGATTCCATTATTAGTAAGGACATTCGACACTCTCCAAAATGTCATGTATGCCTTCCTAGTAAGTTGTTGATCGTTGACTTATGAATCTGATATATTATGATACTGATCCACTAGATATGGACAAGGACGATGCAGACTGCGAGCCACTCATCGAACGCACGGCTGGAACTCTGGATGATGAAGTACTGAAACAATTATTTGTCTCCACCCAGCAGACCAACTTGGAGCTCTGCGCTCGAGAGGTAATTACCCACGGTCTCATTTACTTGCCGCAAGCGTTAGCTCACTGTTATTGTCCAGAACACTTTTAACTATACCGAAACAACATCATCGAAGGACCCCAAGGAGATAAAGGGACGTTGGGCGCCTGGTTCCCACATATTTGAGCAAGATTATCGAAAAGTTTAAAGGTTGCTCTCATTTATGTTGGGCGTGTACTCACAGGTAGTACGTCTGTTGATCCTTTCTGGCATGCTGATCGAAGTCGTTGCTCATCCTTCGACAGTGAGCAAGTGCGTTTATCCTTCTTCGAACGCGAGCTATGCTGACCAAAGCCATTGCCCACTGTTCGCAGCATATGAATGTATCGATCCTCCTTCGAGCTCGAGCCATGCCGATCAAAGTCATTGCCCATCCATTAACAGGACGTGAGTGTGTCGGCCCTCCCTCAAGCTCGAGCCATGCTGATCAAGATCATTGCTCACCATTCGTAGTATGAGGCCTGCTGTCTACGCATATCGAGGAGATGTGTCCGCTTGGATGGCGACGTCACCATTTAAACGCTCTAAGGAGAAGGAGAAATAATCTTCGGGCTCTTAGGTGAAGGCAGGGTCGATCAAGATTATTCTTGAAATCACGTCGAATCATTGCTTTAGTATGGTTCACCGTCATGTTATGGCAACAATCCTGCTGATCTACTTGTCTTTAGCGAAACCTTGATGTTGGGGAACGCAACATAATGTTTTGGTTCGGAGTGGAGCTGAGGTGTCTTGGCTGTGAATGCAGGTTGCTCGAAAAGATTTAGAATGTGGAACTGTACGAAATGGTTGCATGATCACACAGTGTGGCGCTCTGTCTGGTATGGTGTATGGTATGCGTGTTTGGAGAATGTTGGTCACCCTCAGTTAAGACAGTGGCGAGCACCGAGAGCTACTCCACTTGATGTGACTACCTATCAGGTGTCCGTGGTCCGATTTCTAGCACATCAAGGTGGTGCATGTTCCGCTTCGCTGAGTCTACAGGTTGTCTCCACTTGCATGATTCACCCTACACTCTATGTTAACACATGGAATTGAACGTTCCTGACAACGTCAGTGACTCCAGCTGGTAGTTGATGGCTGAAAAGACCTGGCTTTAAGCGGAAGGACCTTGAGCAGCGCCTCGAAAATCTCGAGCTTTCGTTTTTTGAGGGACATCTTGAGCGTTAATATGCATGTGATCATTCCTACTACCTAGTAGGGTAGTAAATACTCGACGAAAAACACTTTTTCGCCACCTTTTTGGACTTGCAAACCTGGACGGTCATATTTTCGCACCATCATTGATGGCGGGACGAGTGATTGTTTGCCGTCCCCATATGGATATGGCCCACCACTTGCAGGTTGCAACAGTCTTCAATGGTGTCAGCTACGATCTTGAAGGTAGGCTTGAAGGCATGCTCAATTCTCAAGCTGTCAAGTTCAAACCGCGGCAAGTCGCAAGCCAAGGCTGCCAAGCAGGATCGTTGAATCAACCCTTTACGCACCGAAACGATCGTGCACTACTGTTGCATACTAGTATCTGGTTATCTGGTTAATTATCACTTGATGGCATACTAGGAGACACTCTGGTAAGGTTTAGGATTGCTGCACGAGGGTTTGCGATACCAATTAACTTAACCTTAAGCTAACAACTCAATACCTAAATGTCAACTAGAAGACATGTGTAATTAGAAGGTTCAAGGGAGAACATTCAACTTTGCGAAACACGCGGAAGCGACTGGTCTGAGTGCCATCTTTTTTCCTTACATAATTCTGCGCTGAGGTTCTGCCAAGTTCTGCCAGTTCAGTTCTGCCTCGGACTACCACGGACCATGGTAATACCCATACTACTTAATATGTATGTGGATGTATAGATGGTGATTTACTATTGATTAACTCACTTGATCAGATCCGATATCATATATCACAATCCTGAGCAACCGTTCAACTACCATTCCATGGCTGAAGGTTACTCCGCGCTTAGCAGAACGCATTCATGCAAGGACTCCGAGTCATCCGAGTCAAGCGAACTCCTTTTCCTCACACATAACCCTGACTCATTTACATTGTTCGTAATCCAGAATGTATACCAACACGTGGCAAGAGTCTACTGTTTCCTGCTACTCGTTCGCAAAATTTCGGTTCCCTTAGGAATTGATTGGTACGAGCAATGATTACCGTTCAATCTTCGTGTACACCCCGCCATCCTTTTAAGTGTGAGGCACTATAAGATGGGTTGGACTGTCGACATGCACAGTTATCAGATGCACATTCACTTATATCTTATTCCAGCCCACATTACACCATGATGCTGGAAGCTCTCACCGGGAGTACCAACTATGCTGCTTGTGTCGCCATAGTCATAACAGTGCTCGTCGTATCATACAAGAAATTTTCGCCTAGCGCACAGGAAGGGTATCCAGCTTCCACCTGGACCTCCCGCCCGTTGGTTCTGGAGAAATGCTTTGCCTACTGTGAAGTGAGTTTTGGCAGTGTCATACGAGATATTACGGCTTGATGTAGATCGTCCACTCAGCATTGCCTGTACGCTGACCGACTTGGTTCGAGAGTATGGGCCGGTTGTGTCGTTCCGACAAGGTAGCAAAGTGATAATCGTCATCGGCAGCGTGGAGGTAACCTGCCCATATCTTGAGCTCCCTCTAAAATGACTCATTTACTAGGCAGCCGAAGACATCATGGAGAAAGAAGGTGCATCACTGGTAGATCGACCTCGGTCCATTGCCGCGGGTGAAATGCTCTCAAATGGAATGAGCCTCACCATGGCTGGCGCCGGAGAACGCTTCAGGCGCCTCCGAAAAGCAATACATCCTCATTTACAGCCAAAGGCGGCAGAGGCATACCAAGATATGCTGCGCGAGAACGCGATGGATTTTATATTGGATGTGCTGAATGACCCAACAAACCATGAAAAGCACGCACAGCGGTACGTCATTACCAAGCCCTTTTGTGAACCTTTCATCGATATGGCACCTCAAGATTTGCATCATCAATCGTTCTTCGGGTGACTTATGGGAAGTCTGCGCCCACTGCCATCGCCAATCCCGAATTTGTTCGTCTCTGCAGAGTCGTTGACAATTTCCAGTCTGTAATTCGCCCAGGAGCTTATCTTGTCGATCGGGTTCCCCTTTTGCGCTACTTGCCTGGTTACGGAAAACAAATTTACAAGTGGCATAACGAAGAGCTTGAGTTATTTAGGTATCATCTAAGGCGCGTCAAGAGTGAAGTGGTGAGGGGCTCTCTTGTTTCGATAAATGTGTATCACTTATATCTCATTATACGCAGGATCAAACCCAAGCTGACCCCTCTTTGACGAAGGCATTATTGGAGAACACCGAAGAACACCAACTCTCTACGGATGAGATGGCGTATCTCGCCGGAACACTCTTCGGGGCGGGATTTGATACGGCAAGCGATGCAACTTATTGTTCTCCGCGGACTAACTCCTGGTTCAGATCGTTATTGCAATTACCACTATTATTATGGCTGTGGCGTGCCACCCACTTGCCCAGGCAAAGGTACATGAAGAGCTCGATATGGTCATTGGGTTAGACAGAGGTAATACCAAACCGAGATTTCGATTTTTCAGTTAATTTCTCGTTGTAGCGCCGACATTTAATGACTCAAGCTCGCTCCCTCAATTGCACGCGTTCATACGGGAAGCTTTGAGATGGAGACCTGTCGTTCAGATAGGTGAATTCGAATTTCGGCACGCTCCTGCATGATGCTGATGTGTCCCAGGATTTCCCCACCGTGCAACCAAGGATGTTTTGTGGGTCAGTGTCTTACTTTGTTCTAACCCATATTCTCATCCTAGTCTATGTGCAATCAGAAAGGACACTGTATTCCCAAAGGTGCAACAGTCTACGGCTGCCATTGGTATGGTGTTGCTTCACGATGTACATTGTTTCATTAAGCGCATGTTTTCAGGGCTCTTTCTCGCGATCCTATCGCCTTCCCAGATCCTGAAGTATTCAATCCCCAGCGTTGGTTTGATTCAGAAGGCCGCCTTAAGGACAATAATGCGAGGTTCATCACGTATGGCTTTGGTAGACGGTAAGTCGTGCCGACTTCGGTTTTCTGACACCGCTCAACTAATTTTTATTCGTCGTTAAAAGTGTATGTCCTGGCCTGCATTTCACAAACCACGCGTTGTACATTATCACCGCACTTCTTATGTGGTCTTTCCGCATTGCTCAACGACCTGACGCACCGATCAACACGTACGCTTTCAGTGACCGCGTTACTCCCCATGCAGAGCCATTTGGAATCAACGTCATTCCCCGGGTAGAGGTCGCGAAGCTGAGAGCGGCCATGGCAGGTTGATGTGCGGATTAGAGTGTGTTTGCTAAGCGTGATGTCGAGCTCCTCACCCTCGACAAAACATTGTTCAACAACCTGACGTATCGATCACGCACATACCTTCAGTGACACGTCGGGTCGAGGACGATGATAACGGATAGGTATATGATTTGCAGTAGTACTGTTTGTCGTCTACATCTATTCTACTAGAGTTCGGCCCTGTCGACTTTCACCTTGCTCCGTAACATGCGATATTTTTCGGCAGCTTGTCCGTGAGGCGTGTAAACACCATATAGATTCATTTGATGCAGCGAGCGCTATGAGTAAACCACATTGAATGTCAGAGCTTCAAGCTTCAAGGCTAGGCCAGCACAGCATGACTCGTACGAAGTTTTAACATCTGACCATGACCTTGCGGAGCAAGGTGATAAAACTCCTAGTTTGAATTGTGGTGAGCGTCAACACCATTGCTGGCAGAGTAAAACCCGACCAAGGAATTCTTCTGATACTATATTTGTGCTTCCTACGGGGGCACTTGCCAGTCAAGGTTTCTTTGCGGAAATATATTCCCTACAGAGGTCGATAGAATCAAGACGATAAACCGAAAAGTCACCACTCCAGGGGGAACGCTATGATGAACACACATATATTAACAAGGAGGAGGTCCGTCATAGCAGACCCATTGCTTGAATAGTAATATACCTTGCAAAAGCCAGCTAGGTTACGAGTGAGACGTCGTCGTCGAGCGTGTAGTTACCCTCGACTGCCTACGTTGCTCTCGTTCGAAGGCTGCCATGTCGCTATACCATCGAAAATCTCGGGAAGCACCTCTCTTGGAGACTGGGGAGATCGGTGGACGCAGAGGCCCTATACGATCCAATGGCCAGACGATATACATCAACTTGGAGTCTAAAAGAGCAAGGGGGACCTGTAGCGAAGCATTAACGCAAGTAAATTAAGGAGCATAGCGACTCACTGGGCCAAATTTATTGCTATCAAGAGTCCGGAAGGGTTCGTCACCTAATGCAACGTCAAGACTTGTTCGAGTGAAAACGATGCATCTCACCCTCCACCCAAACATGACCTTCGGGGATGAAAACTTCGGCATCAGGATATGGAGGTAGGGTTTTGACAATATCCCCTGCCACAGCTACGACTCGCTTCACGAGCATTTTTCTACTATTTATAGGATCCCTGAACAGAGGAAATATAAGCAGTTTCCCCGTGCCCCATGGAATTGGTCTTACTGAAGTGCCACAATGTCGCCTTTTCGAATAGGCTCTCCAGAGTTGATGGAATATCTGTCAAAAATAACAATATCATCCCAACTTGAAGTATCCGGATTTAGAGTTGGCTAGCTGGCACACAAGACTGGTCAGAGACGTTATTGGATCATTTGAGTTCACGACAGACCTGCATGCTCCTTCCTCTGACCGTTTTCAGAGTATAGAAGTACTGTGTGAAGCCCAGGCCAAGAGGAAGCCAGTATATCCATCGCAGTGGTCTGCCAATTAAAGCCCATGTCCTCCTGGAACTCCCTTCTGGGTCGGTAGCACTGTGAATCCGTCGTGAGGTTAACGGCCTGCCGCTTAACTTCAAAAACTTCGAGAATAGCGACATATCGCCGGCTTGATCGAGAGCTTTAAGCAGATCTAGTTTCACAAGTGAAATTCAGAATCAGATTCTCATTTTGCTGCCAGCGATGATCACGTGCTGACCAACACTATGAAGGTCTTGAAATATTGGCCTGCAGATGCCGAAGCCTATATACTTAATCTAACCATGTACCGCAGAGAAAAAAATGGAGATATCGCATCATCGTCTATTATCGAAATATGATCTCCCTTGCCAACTCATCTCCTAGCGCATTGACGCAACTTAAAATCTCCTCGCGATTATATTCATCGTTCCACTGGTGAGATAACTAGGAGAATGTTCAGCTTCCAAGCGATCGGGTTGTCAACTATGTACTCACATTAATGGGGATTATGGATATCGCCCCCTGTTGCATGGAATAAATGACCATCACTTCATCGAGTAACTCCTCCGAGACGGGAACAGGAGGGCCTTGAAAGGGGAAATGTGAATATAATACCAAATGATCATCCAATCATACCTTCGCCAGGATCTTGCGGACCTTCCAATGAATGTTCGGGGTGCACGAAAGCGGCATAGCGAAACTTTTCTAATTGCGAAATACAATCCGCCAAAGGAAACCACGTAAATTTTTCCTGATTTTGCAGATGAATCTAATATTCCAAAGCTATCAGTGACATCATTACTCACAGGGTCGGCGAGGTATGAGGGCGAATACCCGCCCTTGTACTTCATTTTTTGGCAAGAGTGGATGTAAAACCCTGAAGTGAGGCGAGCACTCAGATGGGCACATTGATAACGACAATAATATCTCACCCATGGCAAGTGATGTCATGGTGATAGCACCTGCATCATGTATTTCTCTAGCCAATGAGGCCTCTCGGATTGCACTGAGCTAGAAATACAACTCGCTCAATCGCACAAAAATGATGAGTGCACCAATTTATTGACCTTCCCAAGGGAATATTTCTCGTGCTTCGGATCGTACATGAAATACACGCTGGAGACGCATTCAGGCAAGATGTCAATGACACCCATGGCGATTAATTCGCCGTCAAGGCGGTACATCTGGTGGAAAGAACCATATTGTGACGGAAGATGGTCAGGTGGGCTTGTAGTATATGGGATAGGTTCATTCTTCAAAAGGTGAGTGTTAACGCCGATCACTGGGTGTAACTACATAGAGACGTACTATTAGAGGGCTCTTTACAAGAAAACGCTTGAAGTCTTCTGGTGTATTGTATGGGTCGTGGTGGACCTCTCTTTGGTATAGCAGATAAAGCGCATATTTCTCTTCCGAGTAGGTTGATGGTTCGAGCGTCACCTATTATACACTTTAATATCGATGGTCCGGAACGTCATGCATGCCATGCCTTAAATTGATGACGGGCTGTTGCATTTGAAGAAACGAAGTCAGACTCAGCGGCGTGTATCGAGGTAGACAGAGAAAGATTTGGAGGATCGCGTTTCGAAGCATTACCCTCTGATTTGGGTAGCTTCGGGGAAGACGATATACCCTGTAGTAGCAGTAAATTACTAGCCTCTGATTTGTGACCTTGCATAACAAAATGATTCCATCTGTTAACAAACATCCATCAGTCAAATTAGTTGCCAATCCACCGAGACGTCCATCCGGAGATGTTTACCGGTTGATGATTTTTCTTTGGCTGCGAGAGGGCTTAAATGCTATCGCATCAAGCCTGAGATCGAATTCATATAAGTAAAGTCTCGCAGCACATCCACAGACAAAATACCTGATAGTGTACTGTGGACAACACGAGCGTCTTAGATCAGGAGCATAACAATATGTTCCAGATCGTCTCCACCCTCGGTAGATCATCTTTTGATAGACCTGGCGAACTGTCAGAAAAGGAAAACAGGATAACATGTGTCTTGTGCCACGAAGTACTCACTCTGCATGACAGCTGAGAAGCAATAAACCCTGCTTTCTTAAAGCTAGTCTCGGTACTACTTCGCTCTCCTAGTGGTCCACAATAACCGCAAGTTGAGCACCCCGGTCCCAGAGGCATACCGACCGAAACAACAGGCATGATAAAATCTCAATACAGCTGATACGTAGACGATGAGCCTAAGTTGGTTGATGGTGCGCGGCGAGCCGTTCGTGTCACGATGATATCATGAGTGCACATAATAGTCTCGATCTAGAAGTCATCGTGAGAATTACAATGGATGCATAATTTATTAGAACTAGTGAAGAAATAGCATTCATGTGTGCAGCAAAAACAAGGTCATGTAAGGATGAAAAATGAACTACGAGGGTACTACGAGTCGTGAATAATTATGAACGGGAACGAGTAGTGCGTCGACCCCAAACTACGAGACAAGACAACAGAAATCCTTACCATTCTAGCCCCAACCATCCCACCTACCATACTTCCGGTACTCTTGCAGAACTAGTTCTCGATTGTCCTTCCGGTCCCTGTCGCGTTCCCTTTCCTTTCCCTTCTCCGTGCGACTAGTGATAGATGACACACTGTTCGTGCGCGGACGAGAATGCGAAGATGCCTTAGGCGGGGAGCTGGACAGCGGGGTCCCACCCGCAGATGGTGAAGAGATGTTAGATGTCCCTTGTGGCAGTGATAAACGATACCAGCCCCCACTGTACGTGAGCGCTATAAGCTGGTACTCCATAGGCGGATCACGACCGGGTTCGCTACGATCAGAAGGTGCTTCGATCCAGCCGACCATGCACTTCTCCTCATCGGTAATGTCAGCCGTGGGCGAGCGAGAGGACGACGTAGTAGAAGATAGTGATATGTGGGAAGCTTGCGCTGGAATGCGATACTGAGCATATGACCATTCGGAGTCAAAGTAAGGGATGAGTGAAGCGAGCGGGGACAAGGACGATTGTCGATTACTGTATCATCCAATCGCATTAGCGTTAGATTTCGGGTGGGACAGGAATGACTTACGAGGGGCCGGACATGAGAGAAAATACGTGTACAGTACCCTTATCACTCCAAACACATACTTCCTTCTCATCGGGACGAAAAGCAACCCCATATATTTCGGCCTTATCTGATCCCCTCCTGAATACACGTATCAGCTTTCCTGAAAGCGTGTCCCATATACGAACGAGGGTACCGCGGGACGAAGTCGTAGCGAGCATCCGACCTGATTGAGGAACGGTGAGAGTGTTCAAGGAGGACTCATGTGCAGCAATAATCGAGACTGGATGCTTTGATGGTGGAGGTGGGGGGCGAGATGGTGGTGCAGAAGGTGGGGGGCCGACCGGCGTGGGTGGAATACAAGGCGGTAGATGTACTAGTTGTACGTGCCCCATCTGCCGACCAGGAAAAGCCAGAAGGGTTGAATATGCCCCAGTGGCCATCGCAAGCAAGCCTGCATACCGAAGAGCATAAATCATCTATATACGCACGTAGATAACCCGGCTCACCTCGAGGGTTATCACAGGTGTCAAATTCATTTCGTCGGACGATGGTCTCCCCGACCTCGAATAAAACAACTCTTCTCCGAAACGATACTGCAAGCCACCCACGCCTACAAGCAAGACCTCTGACCCTTTCCCTAAATTCTAGCTCTGCTACTTCTTCCCCGGCCGCGTCATCCCATACGACCACCTTATTTGGAGGATAGAGGGGACTGCGGCCTCCTCCAAGGAGAAAGAGCAGAGATGATGTATGACACGGCACTGCGGCGGCGAGGGTTCCCCCAGTAAACTCTGTTTGATGTATGAAGATCAACAGCGAACAGAGAGAATGCTACCTATCCACCTCTCTTGCGAATCAGCTTCAGTGGCCATGTCTGGTACACAGCAAACCCTGCAGGTGTCGTAGTAGTAAATACCTGACAGTCTGCTTCAAATCGGGTATCAAAGATCTGAATGGGGTTTGTGGCAGTGATAGAGTGTCGAGCTAGGTTCATGGATCGACGTGATGAAGAGGAGATAAAGTGTATCGCTCAGTCTGAGGAGCCCGCATGCTGTATCAGCATCAGGCTGTGGCTGGGAGCTAAAGCTTTTGAAGTGGCGCAATTAGGTCTTTGACCGTCATCAGCCGCAAACTTGAAACAAGCAAACAATTGTTTACTAGCTAGTCCAAGTATCTGTACCGCTATAGCTAGTGAGGTAGTTCGACGCAATTGAATCAAATATTGTACATATGGAACCCATAGAACAGGTAACGAATATTGACGACTACGACAGGTTTAAAAAGATGCATAATAGATAAAACGTGTAGGTCCAGCAGAGTCACTTATCATCCGCGAGCAGAATGTGCGACAGCAGCAGGTACAAATACAGGAGATGCATACGCTGGATGATGCGCATAGCCCACCGCGTGATTTCCTGCGTTTTGCATAGTACGCGGAATAGCATCATTGGTATCATCCCAGGACTTGGGCGGTCGTAAGCCGACTCCGGCAAGTTGCTGCCTGGCAGCCTTGAACTCTTGCTCCTCTGCCTGATTCTGCGCAACTAGAGCTGCCTTGGCCTCTGCCTGTCTCTGTAATTCTGCCTCCGACTCATCTGACAAGTAATCTGTGAAGCCCCCGTCGGAGATTACGGTCGCATCTGATGCGGAGCCTTGCGAGCTACCGCTATCACTACTGTTCCCCGTAGTGTTCCCAACCTTTAACGCCGCCATGGCACCTTCTAATGTAGATCGTCGGGAAGATAACGGAGAATCTTGCGAATTCATGGGAACGCCGTCGACGGGAGATGGATAAGGAGGTGGCGGGCAGTACTCCCCAGAAGGCTTAGATGAGTTTAACGATGCTGAGACCGAAGATAATGAAGGCCGTCCTCCACCATTACGCCGTGACAACGAACCATCTAAGTCTGTCGCTCTACGCACAGAGGGAGTGCGGTTTGTCTTCTCTACCCCTTCTGAGATTGTTTGGCGACGAGGCGATGTGCTTTGCTCTGCAAATGAAGACAGGGGCCCAGACGCTCGTGGCGTCGTTCCTGTCAAAGGGGAACTCTGTTGCACAGGACTTCCACCTGAGCGCCCTCTTGCTGGAATGGGCATCGCCTGATTCTTCCCAGAGGTTGGGCTAGACCTGGTCGTGGGACTACTACCGCTGTTTCTACGATCCAGTGATGGCATTTGCTGCTGGGCTGCTGGGCTGCGATTTGTAGGTGAGACACCAGGGAGGATGGCACCTCGTACGCTTTCGAGAATACTTTTTATCTCTTGAGGCATAGGTATGCTGTGGACGATGCTGACACTAGGCCAATCTGCAGCCTGTATGAGGCGCTGCTCATTGGGATTTGGAGGCCGGCAGCATCCAGGCCAACCGGGGTTCTGATGTAAGCTGGCTTTGGAGGATGGATTAGCGCGAGCCCACTGTAGATCGAGATATTCAATGTACTGATGATTGACATGAAAAGAAATGACCTTGCAATAACCACATCCATTGAAAGATTTAACTAAGATTTAAAGCAATCGGTGAGTGTTACAGCCATGATTCATAAGAGTACATACCCTCGGCATTCTTTAGATGAACAACGTCATGACGAGGATGTAAGGCTCTGTTGTAACATACATCTCGGATGTGAGGGCATCTAGCGTGGGTAAGGTTAATTAGAGGACTCTGATGAATTAAAGGACATTACCTGTTTCCACTCGGTTTGAATACTTTACACATGGGACAGAAAACGGATGCTGGGTCAGTCGATCCATATAGGTAGCACATTGATGAAACTGATATTGGGGGAGGAGGAGATGGGATGAATTTATATGAAATACTAATGCAGGATAACTAAAAAAGGGTTCCGGTTCAAGAGACTGGACTGAGAAAGAAGTGGAATAGCAAAGGCAGGACCGCCGTATCCTGGGTGCGCTCTACTGATCGGTTCCGTGAGGGAGACCATGATGAGTTACGATGACAAGAAGCAATGGAGGTCAGTAACAGACTGACAAGATCGATTCGAATCCTTTATATGCTCCCCTGCTGTAACAATTGAAACGCTTTTAGTTCGACGTCGTCCTCATGTTTTAAAACGTGTAGACAGCATAAAATCCAAAAACGGTTATTCTATGAAATTATATCATAAATTCGACAAATTAAGCACAATCTCCTAATCAAATTTACAATCAATTCTAATTTTGTATTTTTTTTTTCTGGATTTCTAGAAGCTCGTGTGAAACGGTTCTCGGCCTTCCAGCGCTTAGATTAGCTAGGGTGTTCTCTATGGAAGCCATCCACCCTGCCAGCAACACTTGGTCACGGTGGCCGCAACGTAGCCTAACCCGTTCTTCTTTATAAACCACACAGTCAATCTTATCCAGAACAACCAACCAACCATGGGCAAATCTCAGAGCAAACTTTCACCGGAGCAACTCGCAGATCTACAAAAGAACACTTATTGTCAGTTCCGAAATATCTTATATCGATTCCATCTGATACTTTACCATAGTCGACAAGAGAGAGCTACAGCAATGGTTCTTTCTATTTATCGTCTCTTGTGGCGTACGTTTCATCTTAATCGCACTACAGGTATAAGGGCTTTCTCAAGGATTGTCCATCCGGCCAGCTGGACAAGACTGAATTCAGTCGTATATATAAACAATTCTTTCCATTCGGGGATCCAGGAGACTTTGCAGACTACGTCTTCAACGTATTTGACGAGAACAAAAATGGTACTATTGACTTCAAGGAGTTCATATGCGCTCTCAGTGTCACGAGCCGTGGCCGATTAGACGAGAAGCTCAAGTGTACGTACACTTCCCCACTTCATTTTGATACCGACCCCTCATGACGTTTCACATTTGATCTAATTCTTACTCACTTTCCTCCAGGGGCTTTTCAGTTGTACGATATAGACAAAGATGGTTTTATCACCTATGATGAGATGTTACAGATCGTAACGTCCATATACAAGATGACTGGACAAATGGTCAAACTTCCTGCCGATGAGGATACTCCTGAAAAGGTTCGTTTGACAAACTACTCCATCTTTATGACATGTCTCCGCTCACTATCCCAAATACACAGCGAGTAGACAAGATCTTCAGGAATATGGACCGAGACAAGGACGCACAGCTCACGTACGATGAATTCGTCGAAGGCAGTAAACAAGACCCGACTATCGTCCAGGTGAGTACTTAGGGTCTTCACATGATCAGTCCTCTAACCAAGTTTATTCATTCTTTTTATAGGCATTATCGCTATACGATGGTCTCGTATGATCATGATACTAGCATTCATGCAAGCGGATTATTTTTACTTTTCAAACACCACTGATTCATTTCCACAGCTAAAATTTCCTCCTAATATACTTTCCTGTTGTATTCCAGATGTTGTGGGTCGTTCAGCTCACGGAAATCAAGACCAAGCCTTTCGCACACTATACTTTACTCTACGCTATGGCCGGATCTGTCTACCTTCATCGATGTAGCGGTAAACCAGGTTCCGGTGTCGCATATTTTTATTCGCATCTCAAGGCTAGAATCTTGCATAGCCAACGTGATAATCAACTACTTAGAATCATAAGGCAGCTAGCTTCCCATACTTTCGTAGAATCTTGATGTCCATGTTTTCACCCACCCAGTTGTGAAGACCCTCAGCGAACTCGAGATTATCCCGCTCTGCCTTGAAAAGTTTGTTGAAATCTTGTGGTTGCCCGGGCTGCGCATTGCCCATGGCCGCAAAAGGCGACGCAGTCATGTCACGCGATGAATCAGCACCTAAAAAAGAAGATCCGGACGCCAGCATCAGACAACTAGATAGAAAACACAGGAAATAAACGGAGGCGCGTACCATTGTCACCGCCAAGGATAAGTCGATAAAGGCCGTTCAAGCCGAAAAAGTTGAGGAAATACCACGACAGTGATGAAACCCACCGAACATCCATATCAGGAGTATCGATACCACGCTGAAGCATGGACTTGAAGCCCAGTGTCAAGGGGAAGGGTAGTTTAACTGAGAGATCTTCAGGTCGGAGTGCTCTATTGAAGCGTTATGGGGAAATCACGCACTTAGGACGAAGCCTTGAAAGAAGAAGTTGATCCAGCCCATAATAACCATCTGTGGGACCATCATAACCATTTGGGTTTTCATGCCGGCCATCATGCCGTCCATGGCGGCAGGGTCAGACAGAGGATTGGGAGCAGATGACGGCGCGTCAGCTTTGGGCGGTCCGTCTTTCAGGTACGTTCCGGCTTTGTAGGCCTCAGAAAGATGCTGTGAGATAGATTTGTAAAATGCTGGTGGTATCGGAGAATTTGAGGACGTGGCTCGGAGAATCTGGGAACGCGTCAGAGCACGCCTATTGCAGGTCACTGTGTTAGAGAGATATCGGGGAAACGAGATAAGGGTCACGTACTGCTCACGGGTTGCAGCTCGCGAGAGCTTTTTCGGTGGAGACTGCAAAAGAATCACCACATAATGGCGCAGTATTCCGACTAATATCTAGTCGTACACATAGTAAACACTTGCACCGCAGTGATGGTTAAACCAAACTCACCATTACAAGAGTAATTGGAAAGAGGACCCAGTCCCGAATCTGGGGATCCAAGTATAATGAAAGCCTATCCATTGCTATGCGTAAAAGGACTGGAGTGTGTCAAGAATACGAGCTGCAGCGACCTCGACGTGTTGGAATGATTCAGAGAGAAGATTTCCTTTTTGAGACGACTATCGACATGCGACGTGCGCAGTTGAATGTTCACTCTCACTGTCCGCCATTGACGTTTCCTCAGCTCCTTCCAGAGTCGTGCTTCTATTGACCCTTGTGGGGTAGCAGAAACCATGGACAACTCCCCGACTGCGCTATTCGACTCATATGAGCAGGATTTCAGACAAATCATTGACAGCATTCGCTCAAAACTTGACGGAGAAGGCAAGGATGAGCGTGGTGGTACGTAGCAGTTCCTAGTCTTAGTTCGTCGATTTATCAGGGTTATTTGCACAGAACAGCGTAGAGCAGCACTCAGAAGAGTGGAAATGGAGCTGGATGAGGCCGACGAAATGGTTGGTTTACACCCAGACTGGCGCTGAAGTCAAATCTAATGGTCAATCGTAGATATCGCAAATGGAGATAGAAATCCAGGGGATACCACAGTCCATAAAGCCACAGTATCAAAACCGCCTCAAAACTGCCAAGGGAGACCTAGTGCGATTCAAGAAGCTTTCCAAGGACATTCATTCTCAAGTGTCCAGAGCGGAACTTCTTTCATCTGGCAGAGTGGGCACACCCACATCAGACGAGCCCTATGGGCCCACCAGTGATCGTACCCGCCTGCTTGCAGGGACCTCCACTCTCGAGGATGGTACAAGACGGTTACAAGAATCACAACGCATTGCCCTTGAGACAGAAGACCAGGGTGCTGAGATATTAATGAATCTCAGAACGCAACGAGAGCAAATCGAGAATTCCAGAGATACCGTGTGTCTTGTCCCTTGATTCTTGACAATTACTTACCCCGTGCCTTACTAGCTTCGCACCGCTGACACTGCTATTGACCGAGCCTCAGGCACTTTGAAGAAGATGATTAGACGGTTAGTTTAATACTGCTGTAGGTGTTTTTGAACCACACGCCTAATATGTGCCATACAGGATGTACCAACAACGTGTCGTCACTGCTGCTATCATTGTTGTCCTAGTCCTGATAATTGCAATCATTCTATGGGAAAAAGTTTTCCGGTAGACAGATGTTAATTTATGGTTGTCGCATTACCCCTTGTCATATGTCTACAGACATTGTATTTATGCATAGTATATTTTCACAAGCTTCGTTCCAGTGACTTGTGATGTGCTAGATGGTCCTGCTATCAGTTTACATACTGGAAGAATACATTCCTGCCAGCACTTTGAGCCTGAGTCCACTTCCACTAGATCTTACTTACTGTTTGTCTGTCATGTCGGCGAATGCACGACGCTCCTTTTCCTTCTGAACGTCGTCATCGGTCCAACCCTTCTCCCTCTTAATCTCCTCTATAATCGCTCGCCGTTTGATATTTAGCTTCACATTAATGTGGCGCAGAAGGTATGCTACTCCGATCTGCGCTGAAAGCAAAACCATGATGGCAGCCTTGCCTGGGATATATGCCGGTGCATCTTTAGGTTGAAAAATTTCAGTGCCAATGATGTTCCCAACGCAGAAAAAGACCATGGTGAGCGCATTGAGGGTGAGCTGTCGAACCATGTCAGGCAGTGCCCAGAGACAAAGGTATACCTGGCATACCTTCTTCGTGTAACCACTGGTGTTACTGGCATTGTATGCATAGATCGTAGATAATGTGCTTCCAAACGAACCTATGAGATATGAACCTGCAAATCATGTCATCTTTTGACGTGCATGATGACTGCGTCGATCAATGCTCACCAAATAGTAAAACCCCCTTCTGTCCACTATCGTTGAAGCCAATCATCAGCGCTGGAAGGCGATCAGCCTTCTTTGGGTTGCTACAAACGAAGGATAATTTACCGACGCCGAGAAGGGTTGGGAGAGTTGCATAAATCACTGGTAACATGCGTTCTCCCTATATTTGTCGATGAGCGCGGCCCCAATGTCAGTCATGCAGGGCATCACCTTTTTATCAGAATAATAACCGCAGACCACCACTGAGATAACCTCCACAATTCCAGAGGGAGTGGCAAGAATCAAAGTCTGCCTTGATCTGTCGAGAGGATGGGGAGAAATCGTTAGTCACTGCGACAGATTACCCTTTGATGTGGCCCCACGTATATCCGAAATTCTTTATGATAATGTTGCTGACTAGGCTGGCCATGAGCAAGCTCGTGAAACCATGTCATCAAGGCAAAGATGACTTACAGTTAGTGAGACCGCCGCTAGGAATATCGGCTGAAACAAGAGTGAGGCGTGCACGGGTAATGTCGCGATGAATACCCACTAAGCATAGTTGCAAGGCACGATTAACCAAGTTCGGACATCCAGAAGTGTCTCGATGACTTGTTCTTTCTTGAACTTCCTGTTCTCCGTACCACCCTGGTCATCCCTGACCCGTTCTAGGGACGCAATGCGCTCCTCCTCCGTAAGGATCCAGGCATTGACAGGCGAATCTGGTAAGCACACTAATACGATTATACCAACGAGGATTGCAAGGCCACCAAGGAGGTAGTAGACAATCTTGTATGGTGCCATGGCACCTCCATTGTAAAATGAGATTCCCTGACGATCAGTGAGCCCAGCCTTCTTAGTGTGATGTCGCATTACATACATAAGCTACGAAGCCTCCGAAGACCTGAGTAAAACCAAGCTATTGTGTCGCCTTCAGCAAGAAAAAAATGGAAAAGAAAGTTACCGACCATTGCGTAAAAATATGCAATGCGAGTTCCCTGCACGAATCATATATACAGTTTCACCACAGGCGAAATTATTGACCACTCACTTGTTCGTTTTTTCTATAAAACATGGATATTATCGATATAAGGATAGGAGACACACAGCTCTCGCACATCCCTGCTTGATTTTAGCGAAACTCAGCTAGACGAATATCTACTCACCGAGAATAAAACGAAGCGCGAAGAAGGCATGAAAGGAATCCGCAAACGCATGGCACAATAGCACGATGCCCCATATGATAACATTCACGCCTGATATTGTTCTGGTTTTTATCCACATCTAGGATAAGTATCAACTCACCAAGGTATTTCCCAAGCCTGAGCTTCTGGGCGATATATACTGTGGGGAATTCCCAAACTATAAAACCTGTGGATATAATGTAGTTAACGCAAGAACATTTGAGAGGACTCATATTTACCAAGATAGAACGCCATTGAAACCAAATTGTAGTTCTGTCCAGTTACCGGAAACCCCATGATACTAAACATAATGTTGAGCATCCTCGAGACAACCTTCAGTTACTGACCTCGCATAATTGAGCGATGTTTTGTCCCTTTCAGAATGTCAAAACCAGATAAGCAAAAATGAAGGCTTTCTCACAAAAACTGGGTGAAGTAAACCGCAGCAGTTATTGGAATAATAACCTTGTCCTATCAACCTGTCAGCAAGGTCGGTAAAATGTAATAACCACTGTATGGATGTACGAGTTTGTTCCTGAGTCTTCGATTATATTCTTCATTGAATTTCTGTGCTTGAGTTCCCACCAGTCGAAGCGCTTCATCTCCTTTGAAGAGCGGAGAATCCGCAATTTCTTCATGAGATGTCTCTTTTTCTGGATCCATAACCCGATTCGTTGCGCAGAAGATATGGCCTCGGGCTGTCTTCTCAGGTCCAGAGAGTTGGAAGAAGAACCGTAAATGAGGGGTCACGGTTGTCTAAGTCATTCATGCTAGATATCCACAAGCCTGAGGCGCCGCAGCATGATAAGCACCAATGTGATAAGGCCATGAATAGAGTTGCGCGTTAAATCACGATAAGGCATATTTTAGGAGCACAAAACGGTGTAGCATGGTCAAAATTCTCACTGAAGGAATGTCATTGGTACCGAGAAACGTTGAGAGTTGTTCGTAGATTCAAAAAGAACCCTTGACTGTAGGTCGCGGAAGTTGCGTGACATCGAGATTCGAATTTGACCAAAATTCTACTGCAAATGAACAAGGAAACTCATCTTTTTTTATGTAGAAATCAGTAAAGCATAGCATGTCGCTTCTGCTTTTCTTTTGCATGCAAATGAAAGTATCTCCCATCAAGCTCATAGATTGGTAGGATATGGAGGCCGCCCGAGGACTAGAACTTGAATATGGGCCATCAACCATGGCACATCGTGGAGGTCCTAGTCAAATCATCGAACGTGTACACGGATATAGACGGCTACCCACGAACGTCATACTCCAACGACCCCCGTTTTCTTGTGACCCTATTTTCCCGCTCGTATACGACAGCCAAACCATATGACGAGACTCACTACGCTCAATCTTGCACGTTCCTGCAAGTTCGTGTAGTACTTGGCATCATGCTCTAGACCACCTGGATATAAGGAATGGTTTACTGTAAGTTGAAACAGATGTTGCACTTGAAATGCGATCATTGACCACCGCAACAATCTCAAACCAATATGAAGCACAGCTGGACCTTTGTACTAAGTACTTCAATGAAGTGGGTTAGCCTTAACTTTGTCACGAACGCGAAGTGTCACGCGAGACCAAACTCCGCTCAAGGTTTCAAAGCTTCACGCGCACGTCTATTAGCTGTTGGACGTACAAATCTGTTTATTCACGCGCCCAAATTCAAAGAAAATGGGAAGCGTATCGCGATCAGTGAGTTCACAATATTATGGTTTCATGCTTCAACTTAAGTTAACCCCATGATGAGCAGTCAGTGGCACCTCGTCCACTCGTCAAAATAGAACCTACTGAAGAACTATCATTCTCTGACTCAGGACACGACGATACACCACTCTCAGGCTCACTGGTAGCTTCTAATATCAAAGTGGAGTCTGTGATCGAGCCGACATTATATCACCTCTATGAGTTTGCCGATGAAATTACATATACCCCTGAACACGCACTTCATGAAGGACTTGGGATGGTGAAGACACTAAAAATTGGTATTGAAAAACTTGAACTTGGTAGTAGCAAGCTCCGTAAGGATGTTTGGCTTCGTGAAATAGACAGGTATGTTATCCTGTACCTCGTGTGAGGTCAGAAATGAAAACCATCACAGTCTCCTCAATCAAGTTAGTCCAACTATGATGATAGCTGTCTGTGGTGGTGCGTGTTCATTTCTTCCAACATGTGTTTTGACTGAAGCCTGTATCCTGTAGCAACTGGAGCTGGGAAATCATCAACCATAAACGCACTGTTAGATGGTAAGTGGTCACTTTGGCTCGGAATGGTGTATGCCCCTCTCATATCTATTTTGATCTTTTTCTGTAGTCGACGTTGTTCCCACGAGCGGCATGAGAGGTAAAGTTGAGTTCTTTGACTACGTAAGATTTTGATCACTAGCAATTTGCAGCCTGTACCTCAGTGGTCACTCAGATTTCATATCACACTGCACCCACAATCAATGCAGATGTCTTATTCCTTTCTGAGGCCGAATGGAGAGAGGAGCTCATTGCTCTACTCAATGACATTAAGGCCGAAGGTAACGATCTAAAACGTACTACTGACCTACATGGTGATTCAGAGGTTGCATGGTACAAGGTAAGGGTTACGAGGTTTTTTGGTGTCTTAGTATATCATTCGTGCTCAGGTTCACGCTGTATACCCATCAATAACTCTACCTCAACTTGTTGATATGACCGCTGATCAGATATTGGCCTACAATACAAGTGCACATCTCTAAGCTTGTCACTATAGATTATGCTGACTTGGATCCTCTGTGCAGATATTGTCCGCATCTTGGGCACTACAAGGAAGATATCAGCGGACGATTCAAGTAGCTTTGCCCAAAAAATTGCGAGATATGTTGATTCTTCTACAGGCCAGAAACGACGGGGTAAAAAGAACAAACCTCGGAAGAGTAAAAAGACCAGTGCTTCTGATAACTTAGTCATCAGCGCCGAGGAAAAGGAAGACCACGACACAGCTCTATGGCCTCTGATTCGTCAAGTGAATATACAGTGCAATGCCCGGGCTCTTTCCACCGGTGCTATCTTAGTTGATTTACCTGGTGTCGCCGATGTTAATCCTGCAAGGAATCGCATCGCAAAGGACTACATGAAGAAGTGCAACTGTATCTGGATTCTTGCACCTATCACCCGTGCAGTGGATGACAAGACCGCTCGAGGTATCTGTTTCAACTCCACACCTGTGCCACAATTCCAATATTTTCGAAAATAGATCTTCTCGGTGAAGCTTTCAGAACACAGCTGATGAGTATGTCTTCTTCACCCCCTTGGGAATAGGCTAACAATCATCCTCAGTGGGTAAGTTCTTTCTAGTACGATTGCTCTAAGATAGCTAAATGCAGGCTATTGTCATTCATTGTTTAGACGGCAAGTGAGTGATCTATTCTTCACTCGTGCGATGAATTTCTTATTTGTTGGTTAGCTATGATGCCCATACCATCACTTTCATCGGTTTGTTAGAGCGCATCTGATCGAATTCTTGCTAAAACTATATACCTCAGCTACCAAGTGTGACGATATATCTTGTTCTGAGGTCATCACTACCTTGGATCTCAAGGACGACCCTGCGCTAGAGAAAATCAACAAATGCATCATTTCATGCAAGAAGGAAACATCCGAGCTCAAACTAAAAAAGGCTGACACAGAGTCACTGACCGAAGGTATGAATGTTTTGTTCCTGTGACTCGGATAATGTACTTATGTGAATTTCATAGTCATCCTCAGGCGGCTCAAACGACTCCAAGCCGTCATACAGCAATGCCAGGAAGGCAAGACGGCACTCGCGAACGGTACAATGCTTATGCCACAGTTTACTGCAACAGTACATCAGGCGACCCAGAGCATGGGCAAGAAGCGAAAGAATACTCACAGCAAGGAATCTGGGCCGGCTAAGCGTCTAAAGAGCAGCACCTTTGGACATGACTCAGAAGATGATACTAGTGATAGCGACATGTATGTCGATGACACGTGTGGAGGGCAGAAATCAGTTGAAGAGGAGCAGGAAAAGGAGGACACACAGCATGACGACGGCATCAAAGATGAGCCAGAAGAGGTTACAGTCAAGGTTCTCGAAGCGAAGATCGACGATGCCCAGAAATCTATCAAAGCTGCATGGGAAGAACTCGACGACGCACGGAAGGCACAGATAAACATCAAGGGTGCCCTTGATGACCTCATGAGGAAAGAGATGGAAGCGCGGCGTGACAAGAGTACATTTTGTTCTCTAAAGCGTTCGGAGGTTTGTCTTGTGACTCTTGTCGTTATTCATTCTATTTCTGACGGCAACAACTTGAAGTTTTCCCGCAATGCTTTAAAGGAAGATTTCCGTGTCGGGCTGAAACTTAATGATGGTTTGTAATGACTTGCCGTCTTTGCAGTATCAGCTAAGTTAGTTCACATGATACAGATGCCACTGCCGAGGAGCGAGACCCAGAGGCTTTTGATCCAACTCAGAATCTGCGCAGTAAGTTTCATACTAATTCAACAAAAATATGTTGCTAAATTTTTTACTTAGATTATGACGAGGTTGACCTTGAAGTGTTCACTTGCTCGTCCCGTGATTATGTCCGGATAACAGGACGAATGGAACTTGACGAAGACCCATCATGTTTCTCCAACATTGCCGACACCGGGGTTCCCGCTCTACAGCAATGGTGCCACCGGTTAGCCGTTGGTAATCAACATCGTGCTGCGAAACAATACCATCTGCAATTAAAAATGTTTGCAAACTCGGTGCGGGTGTATACTGATGGTATCAGTGATGCGATTGTTGCAGACAGCAAAGCCCTTCGTGAAAAATGGGAATCAGTAGAGGGTGGTCAGGGTCCGATACTGTATGATGTGGGGATGAAGGCTAATCACTTTGACATTCCAGGCCTGAAGGGATTCAATCCCACGATGAACAATAGCTCGCGCTTAAAAGTGGATCCTTATAGTGAACCTACAGGAATCACACCTCGGCTAGTGAAAGTAAGGTCGTTTGCATTGACTTTTGCTCTCTGTACAGCTCACATTTCATTGTAGGATTTTGGTGCATGTGTCGAAAGATGTGTCTCAGACTTGCAGGGTCTGTTCCATGATGGCCTTGAAGACAAGTGCCGAGTGGGTGCAGTCAAAGTGAATACTATTGCATTGTATCAGCTCATCATCTGATGACATTCCACAGGCTGCGCAAGGTGCAGTTCAATGTGTCGACAAGTTTGCAGAGTCCATGTATTGGAATACCTATCGAGCCAGTGAGTGTTCCAGTCCGCACCCTCGCCCTCCCTGATTTTGCCCAATATCAGCACTTCGTCGCCACGGGTCTTGGCATCGTGACCTCAATGTTGAGCTTCTGACGCCATTCACTCGGAATATTGCTTCTTCTTGGTCAACGATCTTCGAGTCTGATCTGTTCACCCCATTATCATCCGCCGTCACGGAATGCGTCAAGAAGCTGCTCGCAGATGTAGAGGTGAGCGCAGTGGCTGAATTAAAAGAACGCGCATGCGCACGAAGTTCCGATTCCCAAGAAGAGGTACACCTCACATTAGGGAAAATCATCGAAGTCGTAGAAGGAGCGCTTGTACGGGAGCAGAAGGAGATATCTCGTTGTCTTGCTCCTCATGTCCAAACCGAACTGGTAGACGGCTACAATCGAGCCACCAGACA